AAATGTTGGATTATTTGCTCAAAAAAAATAAAGTGAAAGTGAAAATCTTTGTTTTGTTTCTCCTCTTTTTTCAGTTTATTCTTTGTGGCATCGTTTGCATTTTGTCGGAGAAGATTCATAATCCATGTCTGGTGAGCGATTTATTCAACAACTTCATGATGTTTCCTCAGCATCTTCTCAGATTTTAAGATTTTAGTTAATATCCATCAAATTATTGGTATCGATTGTACGAAACGATTTGTCTGGGATTTCAGGTCTTCCTCAATGTGATTGTAAATCTGACTGGAACGGCTGTAGCCATTTCTGCCATAGTGATTCACAGCAAAGACATGGATGAGATTCACTGGGAGTCGTGTGAGGTGAGCTGCTGCTATTTCTAACCCTAGAGACAAAGTTCAGCAACCGATGCTGAGGAAATGAAAATGATTAAAGGCTCTGATCATCATAACAGAAACGTCTTTCTGACAGTAGAAATAAATCATGACACTATTTTTGTTATTTAGCTTTTTTTTTCATAAAGGTTTTTTTTTATTTTTATTTTATTTTTATTTATTTATTTATTTATTTATTATTATTATTTTTTTTTTAGTTAAATTACATTAAACAATAGATTTGTATAATTTCATAAAGGATTTAAATGATAATGATCCCTGGAGATGATTCTGTATTTAAACTAGGGCTGGGCGATGTGGCAAAAATAAAATATCACGATTTTTTCATTCTATTATTGCGATCTCGATTTTATCACGATTTTTTTGATACGACCAACATAACTTCAATTACATGCAAAGAAGAGAAAAATTAAATAAATGAACAAGTTTATTTAAATTAGAGAATGAAAGCAGTGCTAACTAACTAACTTTTTTATTTTTTATTTCTATATTGTAAACATACCAAAGGGTATAAAAATGCAATAACTCCTGAGTAAAACAATTACAAATTAGTTACTTTTTTCAAGTAACTACAGTCAAAATAAATATAAAATTCTAACTGTATCTTAGTGCAGTTTTATTACTTTAAAATCTTGACTGGTCTAATAAAGTAAAAGATAAAAGAAAGCACACAGAAACTAACTTGAGTAAAAAAAAAAATTACATTAAACAATAGATTTGTATAATTTCTAAAGTCTTTAGAAACAAAAACTATTATGGAACTGCAAATATAGTGCAAGTCAAGATGTAATCTGTGCAATCTATGATATGATCAGGAAAATAGGCCGTCTGCAGCGTTGCATTACATAGATCTGATGCTGATGAAAATGTACGGTTAAGCTCAAATACGGCGCTGACGGGGCGTTCATCCGTCATATCACCCACCCTTAATTTTAATATCTGTGAATGTTTGTTCTTAGGCTGAAGATTTTCTGCTTTGGGAATCCTAGATGATTTATTTCGGTGAAGATAAAGATATTTACATGTTAGGATAAGGAAACCTGAGGGATAAATCACACATTGCAGCCAACAGTAAATCCTTTAACAGAAAATTTAGCAAAATGTAGCTTTGGGTTGAGTCAGGGGCGGATACAGGAAATGCGGGGCCCAAGGCAGAGACAGGCAGGAGCCCTCTGAATTGAGAAGACAACACATAAAACAGACCTATTTTACAGATAGATAAATGTTAATAGAATAGACATCCATTATCTGTTCTAGGTTGTGTCCCTCTCTTCTTGTCCCTTTTCTTCTTGTTTTCCTCTCTATGTTTTGTACTCAGCTGACTTTTCATGCTGTCTCTAAAGGAATGAAAGATTTT